CGGAAAGAACCGGAGGGTAGCAGCAGGGGGTTGCCCTGTGAGTCAGGGGGCCCTGCTTTCGGAAGCAACCCACGTGCCAGCGGGCGCAGAGTGTGGCTCAGAGATGGCCGTTCTGGACGATGACAATGGCCACCATTGGTGAGCACGGACTGTGGGCCGGCCCTGGGCCGAGCGCGTGCATCTCAGGAGTCCTCAGGGCACCCTGCGGGGTGAGCGCTCTCTCATCCAGTAAACCGAGGCACGAGGGGGGGGGGGGCGAAGGGGCTGTGCCAGGCCCCCAGCGAGTCCATGCTGGAGCAGGCACCTGAACCCGGGCTGTGCGGCCCAGGGCCCGTGACCCTCCACACCACCCTGCTGCCCCAATGGGCATGCCTCCTGCCCGTGTCACCCTCCTCGCTGCCTCACACGTTTTTCATGTCTAGGAGCTCAAGGCCAACCCCTGCACAGCCCGCTGAGGCTCCCAGGGTCCCAGCGTCGGCCCCACACCGAGGAGGGTGTCATCCACTCAGCAGGCATTTCAGGACCTTTCCAGGTGCCAGGGCTGAGCCGGGGCAGGCAAGGGGGCGAGTAAGATCAGGGCTGGGGCTGGCCATTCCCCGGCATGTGGCTGGGCAGTTACATAAGGTCATGACTGGGAGTGACAGAGCCGGGGCTGTCTCATCTTTATGGTGAGATAGTCACTGTGAGGATTAAACGCGATAATCAGTGAAGTGTTCGTGGCGGGCGGATCGTCATATCTGATAACTGATAGCTGCTATCACAGTGGTCACTGACTGGGTTCCAGGTAATCTCCTCTCCGGCATCCGTACTGTTGGCTCTCCTTTCACCCAGAGCACCTACTCTGTTCCAAGCGCCCTACTAAGCGCTGGGGCACACAGTGAACAGGCCAGGCCTGCTCCCTGCATGGGCCACAGTCTGTAAAAAGCCCATGCGGTGGTATTATTACTCATCTGAGGCAAAATGAAAGATCTCTCTGCCTCAGCTCAACTTCCCCCAGCTCTACCACCGACCAGCTGTGCGACTTGGGCACCTACCTTCCCTCTCTGTCCATGGCTGGGGAAGGGAAGATATTCGTTCATGCCTCACTGGCTTGCTGTGACGGAGTAATCAGGAAGCGCCCGGCCCAGAGAAGGTGCTCCGGCCGCTGTCAGAGTCTGTCCACATTCCCCCGGAGCATGCGCTGCAAAGCTGTTGTCATGGTCACCCTCACTGGACAGAGGAAGAAACTGAGGCTCTGAGGGACCCTGCCTCTAAGGCCGCAGAGTAACAGGTAAAGCCGAAACGGAGCCCTCCAGGGTCCCAGGCGCGTGTTCTCGTCCCCTCACGCCCCGGGGCACCTGCATTCCTGGGACCCTTCCTCTCTGGTCCTGGGCCAGCCGGCCAGGAACCAGTGCCCCCACCTACCCCCCCTGGGGGGCGGGGGAAGGAGAGGCCCTAGGTCAGTGGTCGGCAAACTCATTAGTCAACAGAGCCAAATATCAA